CGTCACACGCACTACATTTGACACTGTTTGATTGCCGCCACAGAGTACATGTTTCAAAGAATAAAATAAGTTTCCGGGTGCTCAGAATGGACACGAATACATTATCCTGATCTCGCAAGAAATCTTGTAATTAGATAATAGGTAGGTACTCGTATCATAATAATTTATTCTAGTAAGTAATTATTATAAAATTAATTATATGGATTTATAATAATTACTTACTATTATTGTTATTATTATTACCTAAAAGATAAACATGTTCAGTAAGTTCACTGCAAATCTCGACTTTTGCAAGTGTGTGTTTTTGAAACACAAAGTGCTCGAATATGTCGTCACACATTTGATAAATATGGTTGACACCATAGCACTTTTAAAACACTTGAAATGTTTAAAAATGGATCTGGATCTTGTCTTCAAGGCTTAGTTATTAAGGAGTTGGAGGGGTACCTAGGTAAACCCAGAGCCGTCATCTCGGAGAAGACATTTTAGACTGTTGGAGGACGCATGAGACAAAATATCCGATTTTATCGAAGATGGCCCGTGATTTTCTTTTAATACCTGCAACTTCAGTACCTGCTGAGAGATTATTTTCTAAAGCATCATTAGTAATTAGAAAACATAGAAAAAGGTTAAGTGATGAGTCAGCCAGATGGTTACTTTGTATTAATGCTTTGTCAAAAGAATAAATATAAAGTAACAGTAATGTCAAAGCTGTTGTGTATATACTGTGAAGTAATATAATTTGCATCGTATTTTATTTTTTATTTAAATAAATTGTATATTGTATTACTCTTTTATTCCATTTCATATATGGGGAGGGTCCATCAATTTCTTTCTAGAGGGATAATGTTATTTAAAATACAGTGTAGTTATTGCCATTAATTTGTTTTTATATGTATGTTTAACCATGTTTTAGCACATGTAAGCTTATTAAATGTAAACGTTTATTAAGAAACTGACGCCCGTGGCCGTGGGACACTCAGTTGGTTGGAGCATCGGCACGGATCGCTTAGGTCGTGGGTTCAAACCCCACCCGGTGTCAGTTGATTTTTCGAATTTCTCATTAAATGTTTAGACATTTATTAATATGATTAGTCTTTACTATGGCTATGTTAATTCAAGCTCAATATGTACCTACTCTGTTAAGTTGTTCTAAGATCTAAAGTAACGTTTAATAAATAGTAATAGGCTAATAGGTCATTGCGAGACTTGCGAGACTCTTGCTGCAAGACCAAGACCAAGACCAAGACTCGGAGCGCAATACCAAGACCAAGAACAAGACCAGGTGTATTGGCGCAAGACCAAGACCAAGACTTGCTAAGTCTCGTCTTGTTCTTGCATTTGGGCAACACTAGTCGTGGTACCACCCCGGTTCGAGCTGGCCCATCCGTGCGACAGCAAAAGCTGCCGCGTGGTTCTACCACTGTTAGTTAAATAAAGCTTGAAAATACATTCATAAGGCTTCTTTTTTGTTTCGTCTCAGTATCATGCTCAGACTGTTTTATTTTTAATTTTAAATCTTAGTCGTACTATAGTGAGAGACGTCGCTCATAGACTCTTTTTTAAAAGATTTTTATTTACTGGCTTCCTTAGTATATTATCTTTCCGGTTCAAAAGAAGAACTTGCAGACATCTGATTGACCTGAAATTTAGCATACTTATGTAACAACGGTGATCATGCAAAATAAGGTACCATAGGGCTAAACTAATTATTGACACGGATGCCTAGCAACGTCTATAAAAATATTTTTAAATATAATTTATATTTCACTACAAAAACTGACATTCGTTAGCAGTAAGCAGATCTATACCGTTTGTTGTTGAAGATTAGTGACATTTACCTTTTTTTTATAGGATAAAGGTGACAAACGAGCACACAGTCCACCTGATGGTAAATAGTTCCTGTGGCCCATAGACATATACATCTATCTTCGATTACGATTCAAAATGCAAATACGTTGTCACCTGTGAGGACTAAGATGGAATGCCTCTTTTCCAGTAAAAAGGGTCTCCGGTTCTCTACACTCACCATACGAAACACACCAGCGTTAAGCTGCTATTTTACAATGGTGTTCTGTGAGAGCGTGGTCCTTCCCCGGTCGAGCCGACTCATTCGTGCTACAACCATAATACAGCTGCAGCATGGCTCTACCACGTATATGTACCATTTCTGTCATTCTGTAATTTTATCGCCCACGTGACGTGAAATTAGTTTAGTGTTTGATATAAGTTTTATAATATGATATATTCACTTTATGTACACTAAAGAGAGCGTGCGAATATTGTGAGGTTGTATAGGTGGTGGTGGTGGTTAATAAGTAATAGAAAGAATAGAATAGAAATTGCCGTTTTTTATGAAATAAGTTGACATAATTTTTCTTCTATATTTTTTATTTCTATTAATCAAAGTAATCACCCATGCAATCGATGCATCTTTGCCAACGCAGTGGTAGTTTAATGATGCTCTTCTTAAAGAAATCGGCTGGATCGGCTAATTCAACCGTAGTTTGAGTATCATCAGCTTCCACAATCGTAGTTATTTTAATCGCATTAATTCATCATTTAGTTTTGGGTTATTTTTCAAAATTTCCAGAACGGAAGCGAGCAAACCAAAAAAAGGTGGTGCGTTCGTTTGTAGTATTCGCTCACAAACGTCGTTGATGTTGCTCTCACACTCATATTTTATAATTACTCGAATTTTTAGCGTATCCATGATGACGAAAAAGATTCAAGTGAGATGAAAACATAATGCTAATCAATAAACAAATTACTAATAAAAAAAAGAATTCCATGTTTTTAAGATAAAATTATTTTGTAAATTAGAATTCTTAGGTAAACAAAAATTATTTAGATTTGAAATGGCCTGTACTGCAGAACGGCAATTTTATTAATATGTGGAAGGTAATCTCCGGAACCACTGCACCAATTTGCAAAATTCTTTCACCATTTGAAAGGTACATTGTTCAAGATGGGCATAGGCTACATACTATGTATATATATATATATATACACACATATACTGTGTAGTGGCGGTTAAGAATATCCACTACCCCATATCTTCCCGTGGGTGTCGTAAAAGGCGACAAAGGGAAACAGGCAGGAGATGGGCAGCAGCATCTTCCTGATAACAACAAACTTACAATAAAAATACTGCGGTTGCCAACCCGCTCGCCAAGCGTGGCAACTATGGCAAATACCCCCCTATGATGAGAGTAACAAAGAAACGGCCCCCAGTCCCCGGCGGTCCCGCTATTCCTGGCTACGGTGGCGATCAAGGTAACGGCGGGGCAGGGGGTGTTAAGAATCTCCGGTGGAGGTTCGATTGCCACCTAAGACGACTCGACCTGGCAACATACAACGCACGCACCCTGAGGACTGACGAGAAGATCGTGGAGCTGGAAGAAGAGATAGACAAGTTACGCTGGCATATTATAGGATTATCCTAAGTCCGAAGAGACGGGGAGGACACGGTAATCTCAACTTGCTCTATCACCGGGACCATCTTTTTTTTACGGGGGGAAATCCTCATGGACTACCTCCGCCTCGCCTGGGGAAAGGCGGAGGGGCGTGCCGGACTCTTACCGGCTGAAACCACCCCGGTGTCTCCTCGTACGCGCGCGTGGGGCCGCGGGAATCCAAATTCTTCCGCAGCCCCACATTAGTGCTGGCCCGGTCTGTCCGGGCCTCGTCTCCTGCACGGGGTAGTGAGGTGTTCAATTACCCCGTGTATCGCCTCAGGGGCGCGCGCCGACACCCGCGCGCGCCTCCGCCTCGGGTCCATCGAATAGGGGTGGCGGGGGCTTCCCCAAGTCCCTCGCCCCTGGACCCATTCATAGGGGCCGGAAAAGGGCGTTGTCCTCCCTTCTCCTGCGCCCGGTGTGCCTTCTGCGGCCGGGGAAGGGAGTCGAGATCTCCCTTTCCCGTTCCGCAGTTTCCTTCTGCGACATCACGTCCCCGCAGAAGGACACCACCGCGTCCCACGACTCTGCGCTACCGACCATCTTCCGCACTAAGGCCGGCAGCAACGGATCGCCTCCTACTTTATTTGTGCGTACACGGCGCTGCTCCTGCCAAGCTACACACTTGGCGAGCAGTCGACGCAGTGGTGGCACCGGAGCGTACGGCTCCTTGTCTATGCGGCACAGGTACTTGCCGAAGCAGCCATGCCCCGACAGCACTTGCGTCACCCTAAACGACAGGGAGCCGTGCCTTCTCCCGAGCCAGTCGTCGAGTACTGGCCGGATCGCCTCGACGGTAGCGAGGCCGGCGGTAGAGCGCAGAAGCCTTTGCCGCCATTCCGCCACCAAGACCTGACGGAGTTCCTTTCGGAGCAGCGCGATCTGCCGCTGCACCGGCCTCGAGCCCCGTGCCCGCTCTTCTTCGCGCCATCGATATAATGACGCGAGTACTTTCGCCTCTAGGTCCCAGGGTGGGGATCCGGCCAGGACGCAAGCCGCCTCGTAGGAAATCGTGCGATACCCGCGGACGACTCTGACGCCCATCGCCCTCTGCGGTTTGCGCAGAATGGCGAGAGTGCTGGCCGTCATGTCCAACGCCCACACAGGAGCCCCATACAGGGCCATGGATCGCACGATTCAAACAACAACCGCCTACAGGCGGCGCTCGGGCTCCCCAAGTTGGGAAGCAACGTTGAAAGCGCGCCCGCTGCACCCATCAGCTTTGGCGCCAGCCGCCGGAAGTGGGGTCCGAATTCCCATCGGCTGTCGAGCACCAATCCCAGATACTTCATGGTGGACTCGATAGCTATCCGGGCCCCGCTGACCACAATGTGTGATCCCGGCGGCGGCACGCGTCGCAGGCCATGGAACACCATGGCCTCCGACTTGTTTAGGGCCACTTCCAGGCCCAGGCGCCGGATGCGGTTCAACACTTGTGACACCGCAGCCGTGGCAACCAACGCTGCTTCCCTGTGCGGACTCCCCCGGGCAGTGACAAGCATGTCGTCCGCATAACACGTCAAGTCAACGCCCGACGGGAGTTCACCTCTCAACACCCAGTCGTAGCCGATGTTCCACAGGAGTGGGACCACTCCCGAAGACCGATCCCTGCGGAACACCGCACGACATGACGCGCTGACCAGCGACGTCACGTCCCCAATACGTGACGCATCTCTCCTCAAGGTAAGCCCCTATTGTGCGGCGGAGGTAGGGAGGCACGCGATGGTAATTCAGCGCCTCCCGAATACAACTCCAGGGTAGGGTGTTGAAGGCGTTGGAGATATTTAAAGACACCGCCAGCACCACCCCACCCTGGGATACTGTCTCCTCCGCCAGGGCCCTCACGCGCGTATTAGCATCTATGGTGGAGCGCCCGCGACGAAAACCAAACTGATTCTCGTCCAGGTTCGGTCCCTCTCTGCACAAGTGGCTGACGAGGCGACCTGCGATGATTCGCTCAAAAAGTTTGCCCGCCTCGTCGAGCAGCACTATGGGCCGGTACGCGGACGGTGAGTCCGCGGGGCGCCCCTCCTTCCTGAGCAGGACCAGCCTCCCTTCCTTCCACACACTGGGAAGCTGACCCTGCTGGAGACATGCCGTGAAGAGCCCCCTCAGCTGGGGCTCTAGCTCCTTCAGAGCCAGAACGAGAGCTCGACCAGGAACTTCGTCGGGTCCGGACGCTGTGTTCTTAGCCCGGAGTCGCGACACGGCCGCTCTCGTCTCTGCTTGCGTCACCTCGCGGACATCGGTGCTCTCCTCTTCTGGAGAGTCTGTGGCTGAGGGCGAAGCCATCGCGGGGGAACGTGTCCCACTCGCTCAGGGAAGAGAGTCAATACCACCTCCAGCCTCTACCAACTGGGGTTGCATCCTTTGTGTTAGTGGAGGCGCCCAGGGACGCAACTTGCCCCGTACCCAACGATAGGGGCGCCCCCACGGATCCCGATCTAGGGACCCCAGCAGCTCCTCCCTGGCACGCAACTTTGAGTCGCCGATGGCCAGCCACGGAGTCTCCTTAGACTCGCAGTACACCTCATACAGCGCGTCTTCCTCGGCGGAATCCCGTCGACGCCGCCTCCGGTATCGGGTGTACCGGCGACGAGCCGCAACGCACGCTATGCGCAATTGCGCGATCTCGGCGGTCCACCAGTACACCTGGCGCCTTGCGGACCGTTGGCGCACACGGGGCATGGACGCGTCGCAGATCTGCGTCATCGCCCCGCGAAACCATAGCGCCACCGCTTCGATGTCGACGGGGCCGTCCGTCGTCGACTCCCAGATCCAGGACTGGACTAAGGCAGCTTCCTCGTGTAGTTCCCTGTCGATGCGCTTAAGCGCCCAACGCGGGCCGTCGTTAATCGGAGTTGTTGGATGGCGGCTGCTCGCAGTCTGGGCAGAGACGTCGAACCGGATATACCGATGGTCCGACAGCGTCTCCATCTCTGCGGCGACACGCCAGTCGCGGACTCGGCTGGCGACAGAGGGAATAGCAAACGAGACGTCCACTATCGCCCCACCCCGCTGCCGCACGCACGTGTATTCTGAACCCGTCCACTCTTCTAGCACCTCGCCCCGAGAGTCAGTGACCGGAGATCCCCACGCCAATGACTTGGCGTTGAGATCCCCGAGCACCAGACGGGACGAGCGTGATAGCGGCCTACGACGGCGGCCAACTCGACAAGGAAACCCTCAAAGTCGGCGAGACTCTTGTTGGGGGAGAAATACGCCACTACAATAACGATGCCGCCCGAGACCGCAGCAACCCAGCCGGGGCCCCGAGACGGGTCGATCAGAGTCTCGCCAATAATGGCCACCAAACCATCAGCGCATCCCAACCAGTTGTCACGGGCGGGAATGAAGTACGGTTCGGCGACCACAGCCACGTGAATCGACTAGTCTGCCATGCTCTGGAGTAGGAGATCCTGAGCTCTGACACAGTGGTTGATGTTGCCCTGGAGAAAATAGAATTGTGCCGTTACTGAAATTCCATTCCCTCGGCAACGGTCCTGGGTCGGGAGTCGGCCGCGGAGCTGCTAGCCTGCGGGGGCAGCGAGGTTAACCCGGCAGGCTTAGTGCTCCTCTTCTTTTCCTTTTTATTGCTGGCAGGCGCCCCACAGGTCCCTCCGCCTACTCTGTGCTTCACTGGCCTTCCCGCAGCAGAACAAAGGCTGCAGTTGAGCGCCGTGGTGCACAGGGCAGCCTTTTTCCAGGCACCGAAAGCACTGCAAAGCCCGGGGCTGTAAGAGCTTGGTACTTGCCACCACCCATCCTACCAGCAATCTGTCGCTATCGGCGATCTTCTTCGCCGACGCTACAGGGCACCGAACCCAAACCGCGCCGAGTCCGGTGGCGTCGGTGCGTATATCGCCAGCCCACACCTTGTCCGGCGGACACTCTCCGCTTCTGGCAACGGCCGCCACCACCTCCTCAGAGGTCACGGAGTTCTAGGGCGACCATCTGTCCGAAGGAGGTGTCAGATTTATCGTCCACAAGTCTGTCGTTAACAACGTTGTAAAGATTTAATGTGTCGACGAGGATTGCATACCTTATACTCAGAATCACCAAACGATATTCGCTGAAGGGCATACAGGTTTACGAACCAACCTCGGCACACCCCGATGAGGAGGTGGAGGAAATGTATGAGGATATCTCTAGAGCCATGCTTTCCTCCAAAACCCACTATACGGTGTTAATGGGAGACTTCAACGCAAAACTCGGCACAAGAGAGAACGGTGAGCTGAGAGTAGGGAAATTCGGAATAGGGCAACAGATCCCAAGGGGCCAGCAGCTGGCCGACTTCATGGAGAAAGAGGGACACTTTATGATGAACTCTTTCTTCCAGAAGCGGCCCCACCGGAAGTGGACCTGGTCGAGCTCCGACGGTTCCACAAAAATGAGATTGACTTCATTATGACGACCAGACGACAACTGTTCAGTGATGTCTCCGTGATCGCGAGGGTGAAAACTGGTATCGATCACCGAATGATTAGAGGCACACTGAACCTAAACGTTAAGTTGGAGAGGTCTCGTCTAATGAAGTCAACGCTCCGTCCCCCTCGTTGTGGTATTCCTTGGGGGAGGCCTATGTTCAGCAGTAGACTTATGAAAGGCTGTAATGATGATGATGAATGATGATATATATATATGTGTGCCACAAAGCACGGTCCTGAGCCACCTACATCCATCGACTTCCTACATGTCACACCAGGTCGTCACTCCATCTAGTGAGAGGTCGCCCTACACTTCGCCTACCGGTACGAGGCTGCCACTCGCGCACCTTTCCTCCCCATCGGTTGTCGGTTCTTCGAGCAATATGTCCGGCCCACTGCCACTTCAGCTTACTAATCCGTTGGGCTATGTCGGTTACTCTGGTTCTACTTCGGATATCCTCATTTCTAAGTTTATCACGCAGAGATACCCCGAGCATAGCCCTCTCCATATCTCGCTGAATGACCTTGAGCTTCCTCATACGGCCAGCAGTGAAGGACCACGTCTCAGATACGTAAGTTATCACTGGTAACACGCACTGGTTGTACAATTTTGTTTTCAGGTTTTGAGGTATGTCTAACAAGAAGATGTGTCGTAGTTTCCCGAACGCTGTCCAGCCGAGTTGAATCCGTCGATTAACCTCTCGGTCGAAGTTGGACTTACCTAGTCGGACTATTTGTCTCAGGTAAACATAATCGTCAACGACTTCGAGCTTAGTGCACCCTACAACTACCGGCATAGGTGTGACATGGACATTAAACATGATCTTTGTTTTGTCCATGTTCATCTTAAGACTTATCCATTGGGAGACACTATTGAGGTAATTGAGCATAGTACTTAGGTCTTCCAGCGATTCTGCCATAAGGACTATATCGTCGGCAAATCGAAGGTGAGTGAAGTACAGATTTTACCTATCTTATCTATAAAGTCAGGTTGCCCTAAGCTCTGTAATGTGAATTGTTATAATTTTGTTTTTTGAAAAACCTCTTGACTGCTCTTCACTGCGACTCAATTCGTTGTGTATGAGTCTCATTTTCAGCCACAAATGCATTGTCTGAATAATTAACTCTTTTATGGGTGGCCCCTTTCGTTGTATGCAATGTAAAAGGTTCTAGCTTAACCCTGACAAAACCCCTAAACTGAAATCACAATTAAATCAAGTAGTGGAGATCTACTTCATAATACCAGACCAAATTGACATATTTGCGTTTCTTTACACGCAATCTTTAGTGAAATTTATGTTTATCGTAATTAATTCAAAACGCATTTTCGACATCCAAAAACAGTGTAAAAGGTTCAAACTTAATCCTGACAAACCTACTAAACTAAACACTTAATTAAAATCAAGTATCGGACATATATAGCCAACCAATTATTTGTATTGATCCTTTATTCAATTTTTAATAATCTATTCTGAAAGAAATCAAGGTTCATCATACCCCAAACGTGCTGTAAAACTGGGAAATAAAATGACAAACGCCGTGACGGTGAAATCATCGTAAAATTCAGCATTTATATGTACATTTTTAATGCAATTAAATTATATGACCCGTCAAAGCCACCACTTAGTTGGCATAATTTGGAAAATTTACTGGATTTGTGCTACACTTGGGTAATAGCAGAGTTAATAACTGCGCAATATCAGTATCTCTCAAATTGCTTCTCATCATGGGTTCTTTGTGATATTTATAAGATAGTTTTATGTGTTTTATCAACAGAGAAATTATTTTTAGCTTTCTAGTAGAAAATTCCACACAACTAACTTGTAAATATTCATAGGCGGTGGGACTCTTTTTGACCGTTGACCTACGCATCCGTCTGGGTTGGTACGAGTACCACACTCTTAGCTATTTCTAGCATCAAGCGGCAGTGTGTGTACTGCTGTTTTTGGATCTGTAGGGTACAGAGAGCTAATATAATAAGCAGAAGAGGAGGCATTTCATCGTAGTCCTCAAAGTTGACAATGCATCTGCAACCTTTTCTACTTGAAGTTGGTTGCAAGTGTTTAAAGACTGTAGCAGCCATTTAGCATCAAAAATTAGAAAATATGGTCCGTTAATTCGTTTGTCACTACAATTTCATTTAATAGAAAAACTTTGATAAAATTTGTAGTTCAATGTTTTTAATAAGGCGACAGTTGGAGTATAACAGAATCTTTTAAAAGTTTTGCAGGGCAATTAAATAATTGCTTAAGTACAGTGTAGAAAAACTCAAGAATTAACCAAGCAATAAATTCATTTGAGATATTTCTGCAAGCAACTTGTTAAATACAAATAAGCACAAATGTGATACGTTAAAACTGGTGCAACACAATTTGAATTAGGAAAAAAATAAATGCTTAATAAAAGAAAAAGTAAAAATATATTGAAGACGCAAGTGATATCTTGCATGCAAAGCTCTAAGTGTATTAAGGTTATGGCATAAGATAAAAATAGTAAATGACGTCACAGATTTTGTGACGCATGCAGAGAAGTTGATTGCGAGTAAAAAGAACTCACGTTTCTCGCATGATGTGACTGGGGAACCGAACCCGGTAGCCCAGTTTTGGATCAATGGCCAATCTACAAATAGAAAAACCCAATTGAAATTTATGTTCGCCTTAAAATAAATGGATATTTCGGCTACCATTAACCTTGTATTCTCTTTATAGTTTTTCATAGGTGAAAAAAATAAACTTGCTTCATAGTGTTAAATATTGCAGGTCTTAATTCAAATAATAACTTCAATTTTACTTTTCAACATGATATAGCATCGTCACTTTCTACTGAAAGCTTACAGTAAAATAATTAAACTGATGTAGATTTAGC